GAAAAATGACTGCTACTGCTGAATCCAGGACAACAGGCAATCCCTGTTTTCCCACACAGGTGCAGAAGTAACTAACAGGATGGAATCAGGGTTTTCTGTGTATGCTCTATTTATCACAGCTGCACGCTCCATTCCAAACTGCTGGCACTGGCTCTGTCTTATTCCAGTACCCCAACGAAACAGAGAAGACAGCAGCTGAACAGACTTGGCCATGACTCTTATTTGGGCCATTCCAGAGAAGAATAATAAAATTATCTGGATGAAAAGTCTACATAGCCATTTCTTAAATTCTAGCTTCATTTTATTAAACGAAAGGTGCATTTCAGCAACATTCTTGCCGGACTGTCTGCTTAAAAACTCAGCAATACAAGGTCAGTTATGTCCAAAAGACTGCGATTAAAATAGAAAATTTAAATCTAACTCTTGTAACAGGTCTCCAGACTTTTCTGATGGTGCATGCCTATCAGTAAAAAACCCCATTTTTAGCCCACACCCTCAATATATGGATATTAGTTTATAAATTACATACATGTACTGTATTAATGAAGTACATTATAAATCATACACAAAAATAGACATTTTAAAAGGATAAGATAAAGATGAAACGATGTTTTAAAATTTATTTTATTTATTAATGGTACAAGAAACCTTTTTGCCCTCACAAAATTAATAATGGAGAATAAAATACTAATTTAAATAATATTTGAGTGAGAACTGTATGATTGAACAAGCTTCATTATTATTGAAAATATTGGTTTAACACTTTGTGATAACAGCAATTTGAAGGTCTAAGTTGTTTGTTTCAAAACTTGTTTTTAACAGTCACCAGGGCTGAAAACAAATCCCAACTCACAAAGATGCGCAGATTCAGATGGAAGAAGTGTGCTGTTCGCTGTGCCTACTAAATCATGATACTCATTTTTCACTCCCACTCATTACGCAAAGGCTTTTCTTGAAATCTGCACAATAAATTTTCAAATTCTCTGATGTTAACCAGATGTTCTTGAAACCAAGCGGAAGTGTTGGGTTTTCATATTTTTAACTCATGGGTTCAAAACCACTGAAACATTTTGTTTGAAAGATTTTTAAATAGGTCAGGAATTTCTGATGCCAAGCCTTTTAAGCGTACAGAGGGGTTTTATAGGTGACATAATATTTTTGGCACAGTATCATCTACATAATTTCCAAACATCTGTTTTCAAAACGCTTTCTTCACATCACCAGTTTCTTTCAACTGTCAGCCACTTATCACAGAAAAGGTGAGCAAATTTGGAACACTTAGTTTCTAGCGAAACAAAAATGCGTAACTCATCTTTGAGTTTGAAAATCCTTCAACGCACTTTGCCATGAGATAACTGGTGAACCTATGTGTGGTACAAAATATTTTTATGGTCACTCCCCACCTCATAGTACTACTTAAAGGTCATCTTGGTATAAAATTAACCACACTGATGACAGCTTCTAGCACGTTGTGCACTTCTGTCTCTAACTTGTTTGATGCAATAGCTTACCTATGAACAGCACAGCTTTTTAATTTAATTTGGTGCAATTTCTGCAAGCTTACCCATGAATCCTCTATTCCAGTCAAATCAGCCACTCTATCAGTGGTTACACTTGCATGTTTTTTTCCATAACACGTTGCTTTTATTAAAGAACTCATTTGCTGTTGAGAATATATCCAGAATATATCTTTCCTTTAGTGGTTCAAAAGAAAGTAGTTCTACTGTAGGTAATTACTGAAAGAGAATCCAGCAAGGCCTTAAGAGGAAACTCGACAGAAATACCTGTGCTTTCAGCCAGCTACATAGCAAATCTCCCACATGTGCAAACACCTGCTTCTACAGATCTTCAGCAATATTTTCTGTGCATCTTCCAATAGGGTTTGCTGACAAAGGAGTGCATTTCACTTTGGCTCTATATTGTTTTCCGTGTGCTATTTCAGCCATCATTACCACAGAAGAAAGAAAAAGTGTTTCCCCAGTGGCATGTCTATTTTTGTCTCTCGCTACTATGCAAGAATGCTGGGTTTGGCTGGGATAGAGTTAACTTTCTTCGCAGTAGCTTTTATCATGCTATGGCTTGGATTTGTGCTGAAAACAGCATTGATGATAACCCAGGGATGTGTTAGTTACTGCTGAGTGGTGTTTGCACAGCCTCAAGGCCTTTTCTGCTCCTCACCCTGCCCTGCCAGCAAGCAGCTGGAGGTGTATGAGGAGCTGGATGGGGACACAATGGGACAGCTGACCCCAACTGATCCAAGGGATATCCTAGATCATGTGGCACCATCCTCAACAATAAAAAAAAAGGGGGAAGAAGAAGGAAAGGGGGAACATTTGGAGTGATGGCATTTGTCTTCCTAACTCACCATTACGCATAATGTAGCCCTGCTTTCCTGAAGATAGCTAAACACCTGCCTGCTGATGCGAAGTGGTGAAGGAATTAATCATCTTGCTTTGCTTATGTGCACAGCTTTTGCTTTCCCTATAAACTGTCTTTATCTCAATCCGTGAGTTTTATCACTTTTACTCTTCGATTCTCTTCCCCATTTCACCACAGCAATACGAGCGAGCAGCTGGCTGGGGCTTAGTTGCTGGCTGGGGTTAAACCACAACAGGAAGAAATCTCAAAAGAGGCTTCTAAAGGTTTACAATTAAGTTTAATGAAATTATATATGTGATTGAGTATCACACAACTCTAAAAATATCACTGAAAAACTATCAAGGTTTGTCTTCATTTTCTGGATGCTTCATTTTTAAATGCTTTTCTAATTGTGATGTCTTTATACTTTCATTAGCTATTATCTCAGGGTGCAATACACAATTGGGGTGAGGTTCATCATTAATTACAGTAGGTGTAAATCCATATTTCAAGTAGTCTTCCTGATTATTTCAGGCATTTTTGGCCGATTAGATCATCACCATTTTTGCCTTGCGACTTAGCTGACGAGCTTGGAGCAGGTGAAATGCCAGCTCCATCATTTTCTTGTTGTTCGTTTGTGCTTATGTTGTTATCTTCAACCTATGGGTTCTTTGCAGGAATCTCTCTAAGCCACTTGTCCATTTAGTGTTATCTTAGTTAAAACTAAATAATATAAAGCATAAATCCACTCAACCAGCACACACAAACTGCAATACATCACAATCCGCTGAAAGCAAACAAATGAATGAGGCCACCACTGTGAACCCCTCTGCCTCTGGGAGATGATGGTATCATGCGTGACAGAGCCTTGAAGGTACAGACCAAGTGAGGGCACCAGAGTCAAGCTGTATCTTAAATACTAGTAAAGTGTAACTTCTCTGTGCTTGTTTGTTTTTAAAGATAATAAATATAAGTAGACATTCTAAAGTTTTCTTTGTGCAGACCAGCAGATCAGTCTCTCACAAGCCACGGCTGCATACACCTCGCTTTGGAGCCTGCTACCCTGGACAACTGGTGAGTAATGCATAGTCTGGCACCAGCTCGTTTCCAAGTTCACTGGGTGTCTGGGTTTTATAATAAATTACTGGATCTTTCAATGTCTGCTTTAAGCTGACAAAGCTCAGCCTTTGTTCTCCAAAGGATTTGGAAAACCCATTAACAATGACAGACTACTTTTTTGACGTTAATGTGGCTCTGCCCAGGCTCTTGCTTGAAATTAAGAAATTAATCACATAGTTCTTAAAAGAACTTATTGCTTACTACTAAAAATACTTGTATAAAACGGGGGGGGGGGGGGGAAGCGACTAAAAAAAGGTCTCATATGATCTCTGTAAAGCTTCTGTATTTCACTGCGGCTTCCCCCAACAAGTAAGGATTAATTATAGAGGTAAAATTTTCCTCAAATATTTGTGTATCTCCTCTAGAGGGCAAAACCATAAAACTTACAGACCAGACATCGGTCGTGGAACCCTGAGAGACAAATGCACAGTTATGTATATTCACACAAGAGAATGAAGGTTGTTCGTAACTATTACAGCATCAGACATCAGTCCTAAAATTTAGACCACAGATCCATGGTTGCACTTGACAGCTAAAACAGTTCTGCTGCAGTACCACTAAAACACTCCAAGAGAAACTGCTGACTAGTTCCTGTCTCAAAAGAGAATGCTTTCTTCAGTCAGGATACAAAGTCAGACCCAACTTTACACTAACTGCATTATTTTCATTATAAGTAGTTAGCAGGTGTGGCAAGATAGCATAGCAAGCGCATACATATGAAATACCTATTATCACTAAGATGACAAAAAAAAATGAGATGCTGTAATATGATAGCTGATACTATAAATGAAATTTTTCTTTTGTACTACTTCAGTCAGCATTAACTCCATTGACTAACATAGGCTTTTCTTTGGCCTGTGTATGCATTAAGAGGATGTTTCCACAAAATATACAGCCAGTAAGTGCCTGGCTCTGGTTCTGAGGGCATGAACTCCAAATGTCCAGTAGCACTGACTTTCTCTGCTGTCTGCCAGGGTGTGAACTCCTCCTACAGCCTTTTCCTCAGCTGAAAATCAGTTTCTCTACCCAGAAATGGATTTTCACTAAGTCTGGAGCACAGAGCTGGGTCTCTCTAGTCCTCTGCCAAATACTTCCAAGAAAACCCAGGGGGTTCAAAAGTTCTCAGTCATGGGAGGGGAATAATCAAAACCTAGCTAAAAAAAAATTAACAAAACAACAAATCAACAAAAACAACAATTAAAAAAACAACCAGAACAACAGACCAAACCAAAAAAACAACCCGAGGCTCATACAAGTGTGAAAAATTCTAAGCTAAATACCTTAACTAAAAGAGGCTGAAGGAAACTTTAAGTCTGCAGCTGAAATTTGCAAAGCCTGTAATGAACCACCAAGACAAAACAAAGGAAAAAGGCATACAGACAGGGTAACTTGGACGAGGGCTGATAAAGGTGATGGAAGTTCCCATCAGAGCGAGACGGGACAGCAGTCAATCTAACACCAACCACTCACATGATTCATTTTCTCCCTTTGGTCACCCCCTTCCTCATTTTCGCCTGACTTACGTGATGCACTCGTGCCGCAACGTCGTGATCCGCGTTTTCACAGCGGATCTCCCCGCTCCGCGCCACAGGTGCTCACCCACCGCCCCTCCGCGCCCCTCACCTCAGGACGGCCCCACCAGACCCGCCCTCGCACCGCCTCCCGCGCCTCTGCTCACCCGTGCCCCGCCCCGGAGCACAAGGGTGCTACCACATGCGTCTGCTCGCGTCCACCGTGGGTTTCTCGCCTCGGCATGGTGCGGAGTAAGCGTGCTTCGCCACTCCCGCGGCTGCACGGGCGTCCGCCTGCAGGTAGGGGTAGGGGCCGGGGCCGGGGCCGGGGCTGGTCTCGGTCCCTGTCTCTGAAAGGGGTGCGGCCGCTGAAATCAGCGTTCCTGTACGAACGCGGTTCCCGGTAGCACCTGCGCCCACGGACTCGCTGGGAAGGGATCGCGCTGCCTCGCCACAACCAGCACTCCCGCACCTGTGGGCCTGTTGTGTGTCCCTCCCGAGGCCGGTGGGGCTGGAGAGCGGTGCTGGCAGTGGGGGCGCAGAAGGGAAGGGTCGGAGCGGTCGGGGCTGCTCCGTCCCCTTTCCATGCGCCGGCAGGCTCCCGGGGCCCTGGCCGGAGCTTCACTCGGCCTGGTGTAGGCGCAAAGCCCAGCCCGCGGTGCTCCTTGTTCACCCTACATGAGCATGTACCGCACCCGGTGTTCTAGGACTGCGTCCGATCTGCAGTGACCCACCATGGGCTGTGGGTCTGGCGAGCAGTATGGAGCACAAGTCTGATGAGGAACGGCTGGGGTTGTTCAGTCTGGAGAAGGCTCGGGGGGGGACCTTAACGCTCTCAATAACTGCCTGAAAAGAGGTTGCAGTGAGATGGGGGTCCGTGTCTTCTCCCCAGTGACAAGCGGTAAGACGAGGAAACAGCCTCAAACTGCGCCAGGGGATGTTTAGACTATTAGGAACAGTTTCCTCACCGAAATGGCGATAAGGCATTGGAACAGGCTGCCCAGGGCAGTGGTGGAATCACCATCCCTGGGCGTGTTCAAAAAGCCCTTAGTAATCCGGTTTAGTGGTGGACTTGTCAGTCGTGGGTAATGGTTGGGCTTGATGATAAAGATCTTTTCCAACCTAGCTGATTCTGTGGTGGAGCAGAGGCTCTGCTGCTCTCTTAATCAGGAATGCATTATCAAGTAATAGACAAGTATCAGTGGCTTAATGAAATCTGTATATATATATATTTAGTGTGCCAGTCTTATTCTTTGCCTCTTACTGTAATGTGGAAAATAGATATCTTTTTGGTTTTCTACCTCACCTCCCCTTTGGAGTTACCTGACTAAAGATGGTGCTTCAGAGTGCAGGCTGATGAGCCTTCAGTGTGGTACTCTAACCATGGCTCCACCTAATGGGTGGTTTGTCCAGATGTACTACTTGGTGTTTAAATGAGTACCTGCAACAGATTATTGCAGAATCTGTAAGTACGTACAGCTAGTAATCCACTCCTGTGCTTGCCTGTTCATTATCTGTGTGGAGCTAGCATCTCAAAACACAGAGTTAGCAGTAGTATGTGGTTTGTTACCTGTATGTATTAAGTCTAAAGAGCTTCTGCAGACTTAACTTTTAGAACTGCTGCACAGCTGCTGCTGAGCCTAAACCAATTAGGTTTGCCCCATCCCTCCCTGGTTTATTAGAAGCAATTATGGCCTGAATAGCATGAGATATAACTTGTGTATCTCAGCTGTAACATCTGTTTTATTTTCTTTAAAGGTATTTTTCTGGTGTTGTGGTTTATTTAGTTTGTTTTGAGCATGCTTTTATGTGAATTTGTGATGTAAGAAGCTTTTTCCCAACTTCACTTGTGTCTGGTCCTTTCCTGGGTTTTTGTGTATGTGTGTCAGGGATGGCTGAGTTGAGGCACTTGAAAGGGCCTTTACACCCCTATAGTCAGTGACCTTGTATAGCAGACTGAGTCTTGGTGAGGTGCATCTGCCCCTGCAGTGGAGTGACTGTCTCTGGCAAAGGAGTAGGGATGTAGGAGCAGGAAAAAGTTGTTCCAACTTTGCGCTCGGTGAACAAAGCAGGTTGAAGGTGGACACCTTTATTCTGACCACAGTATCCATAGGTAACCTTGGGATTCAACAAAGCTTTTGTTTTGTGCCTTTGTTTTCAGTTTGGGTTTCGTGGTTTGGTTGTTCTGGATTGTTTTTTTTTATTTTTTTGCAGGGAGGGAAGGGACATATTCCTCCTTCCTTATTTCTTTTCTTTAAAAATATAGGATGGTTTAAATATGGAAATTAGCAAAGATTTTGGTACACAGTTCTTAAGTGTTAGGTTACATGGCTTACAGGGCACTTAAAAAAATACAAAAATAGAGCTCTATGGTGGAACTTTGACATATCTCTTAATTGCTTTGGGAAAAAACAAATTGCAAAACAGCTTTCTGGTACATTCCAGAAGCATCCATATTTAACTATTCCACTGCTAGGGGTATCTTTGAGCAGGCTATTAGCAGCTATTGCCAAGTCAGTGAAGAGACTGAAAAGTCCTGTGTTATTCTTACTCTTATAAATAACTTTCTTCTTTGTGGTTTTTGGTAGTAGACAGAATTCCTGGTTGGCCACTTCGTCTTTAAATATCTTTTCCTATTTGCAGTATTTGTTTCCTTCCCACCTGCTCCCCAACTCCTCCATGTGCTTTTTGTAAAGCTTCATAGTGTTAAAGTGTCTGCCTCCCTGTGTGTCTGGATCTCTTTACCCTGCTAAGGTAAAACTAAAATGTATGTGTCTGGAAATCACCAGTCCTGCACATGTGTGCTTAGTGAAGGTCCCAAACCAAAAGCCACAGATCTAGGTTCAGTTATGTTTTTTTTACTTACTTCTAAAACTTCAGTTGTGTTCCCACTCATTCCTAAAAGGCAAAAAAAAATCTAAGCACCTAACAAGCTGTGGAAAAATACTTGGGATAACTTGCTTTGGTGTTCTGGATAAACTTGCTATAAAAGGAACTTGATGTCAAGAAGACATCAGTCTTACAAGCTTTTTTGAAATACTCAAGGATTTTTTTGGTGGTTGGATTTTTTTTTTTTTTTTTGTCATTCCTGTTTAAAGCTGCATTCTGTGTTATATTCTGCTTAGAAAGACAAAAGAAGTTTCATACCTTGTGAGCTGAGGGTATTTGAAATCTTGATTCTCTTTACTGGCAGGTAATTGGAAAAGGCTGACACTTCCATTTTAGAGGAGACTTTGAAGTTAGCTTTTCAAAAGAATTTGGTTCTGTCTAGATATCTAGTGTATTTGTTGCTGTAAGATGACTATTCATTTCCTGCTAATACAGCACTATAATTATCTGTATGTATGTAATTTTTAAAAAGCCAAATTGAGACATTGCAGAGCTGCAGTACTGTGAGGCTGCTTTGGACATGACTGAAGGTGAATTCTTGTTCCTAAAACTAAACCTTCTACCAGTAAACTTTCTGCCATTCCCTGTTAACTCATGTCCCCAAATATTTGAGTTTGAAAACTCTAGTCTTGATTATTCATGATAAAAATAGGAGCCTTCCAGTAAGATGAAAGAACTTCTTCAAAATAATGAGAAATAAACATTAAGTTTGTTCTTTTTTACTCTTACGGTTTTAAAACTTGAAATACCCTCATGAACAGGGAGAAAGTATTTATTTCAGCAAGATGTTTTGGGTAACTTTGCCTGTTCTTTGTTCAGAACTGAATTTTCTGGTATGGCTCAGAACTTAGATTGTTATTGTTAGGTCCTCTGTAACTTAATTGGTGCTAATTGGGTTTGTGATTGGCAGTTATATTAATAAAATATAATTAAACATGTTAGAACACAAGAACAAGGTAAGCATGCAGCTAGTTCTTATCTGCATTATTAGGTTAATTCTAGAATACCTTGAGTAAGTCATGTGAAACCTTCATTGCTGAGTGATATTGTTTGACAACCTGAAAGTGTTTAGAGTTTGGTCTGTTTGTTTTGCCTTTAAAAATTCAGATTAGAAACTATTACATCTGAGATTTATGGGTGAAGAATGCATATTAACATAATAAGGTGGTAAGATTTAATATAGTTAGCAGTGACCAAAACCCCTCTAATTTCTTGATTATAGTATTTGGCAATTGATTTGAATATGCCATGACAGAGAAGTTTAAAGTCTGTGTTGGATCTGTTTGTTTCTGTGTTATGTGTATGTTTAAAAGTGAAGCATAGAGTTAAATATGGAAAGATGATTTTAAAGTATTTTTTTCTTCTCTAAGTGTATGTAATGTAATATGTAATTCTGTAGATATTTGTACATAAATTGTATTTTCTTCTTGCAGTCAAAGCTGGAGGTATGAGAGTGCCTAAAAAGAATGAATATGGACCTGTTGGGAAAAATACTAAACCCCCAGGAAAAGACAAGACAAGGTACTGCATTTCTGGGCTTTTTCTCCTCTGCCCCCTCTGCCCCATTCAGAGGTAATGGGCTGAAGGTTGAAATCAAAAGACAATTCTTAATTCCTGAAGAGTTTAATTCTTCAATTAACTTGTGCAATTTATAGAGGCAACTCTGAGGTAATCATCAACTTAAAGTTTCCTACCCCTCCCCAAAAAAAACAACCCCAACTTCAAAACCTAAGGACAATGCCTTGCAGTGAAAAATCAAAGGTGAATCTCTTCTTTATTGTCACGTTTTATGGAACAGAAATTAAAACAATGTTTTGCCTACCTGTACCTAATAAAGTAATATTCAAACAGTTTCCAGTGAAATGAGTTTTAGGCTGTCCTCATTCTGAAGGAAACAAAGCCCGCATCTCCCATCCCCCACGAAAAGTGTTAATTCCTGTGTAGCCTGTATTTCTTATTTCAGTCCCAAATCAAATTTGACTTTTTCTGTTTTCTATTTCCTAAGCTTACTTAAGCTATTTTGCCCGAAAATGAAGGCATCTTTCTACTTTTGAATAAGGTAGCAGTGACTGGTTGAAGTGGGCATCAAAACAAATATTTTCTTCATGATTTTTCAAACAAAGACTGAATGTTTTTCTCAAAAATACACATTTTTCTCAGATGTCACTCAACAAAAGCTAAGATGACTGATATATGGATAATTGCTATGATGCTCTTAGAGTCAGTGTGACCCTAAGATTTTTTTTCAAAGGAGCCTGATGCAGTGATTTGCTCTCAGAACAAATCTGCTGTGTCCTGACAGTGATGACCTTGTTGTGCAAGTAAGCAGGGTATATATCCTCCTCCATGTGATGATTAAGGTATTTGTGAGGATCTGGAAGACCTGTACTTTAGCCCATTGTCAGATAAAAACAGCAGGTATCTTGCTGTGTCGCTTGCCTTCACCAGTGAGTTAGATGCTTCCTGTTGAGGACTTATAGAAAAAAAAGATTCATAGAAAAAGTCTTCATAGAAAAAAGACTTGAGATTTGTGGTGATGAGACAAAATGTAACTGTTAAAGTACTTTGTTCAGGGAGCTGGATCTAAAATTCCACTTGGCACTGTAACCTGTGTGCTTTTAATACCTTTATCTGTTTTGTGAGCATTCAAAATTATGTCTTGAGATTGGAACTTGGATATCTTTCTCTAGTGAGTGCTCCTGCACTTAACGTACACTATTCTCTAGCCCGCCAAAACATTAAATTTTTGCTGTTCAGTGGCGCAGCTTCTAGAGGAAAGTACAGTCTGATCTTGCAGACTTCTGAGAGCAGGAGATAAGGGATTTAGTCCCTTTAGAATGAGGACAGTGTAGAATTTGTTCTTTCCTTGGAAAGTGTTGAGCATTATCTTACTAGGTATGAATAGGAAACACATCTGTTGTTGCTTTAGGAGTGACTTTGTCCTCCTGCTATGAAAAAGCACTTACAAGCAAAAAAATTTTTTACCTGCAGAAGTGGGCTTTGATTTATGTCAAGATGCACTTGCCTCTCCTGTAGTCAAAACTTGGGACTAGTTTTGTGCATAAAAATAGAAACAAAACAAGGTTAAATAGTCTGTTGTATTTCTTAAGAATAGAACTCCCTTCAAGGAGTCTTTGTATTGTCCTTGTGATAGCTTGCTCTGGACTTGCTGAAGAGACACATCCAAACTGAAGCAGCTCCTGAATCTTAAAGCACATCCGGAATTATCCTGAAAGCTGTGAATTACTCTTTACACTGCTGTGGATTTAGGGACATCAGTTACTGCTTACCTGTAAGAAAGGAGCCACCTCTACTATAGTGTTTCTGTAGTACACAGGTAACAGTTTAGAAAGTCTGGGTTAGTGAGGATGGGTCTGGATGACGTTGTTCTGATTCCCACTTGTTTGTTTGTGGGTTTTTTCTTTTCTGCACTAAGATTTAAATTCCCTGTATTATTTCTGATAAACAGATTTACTTCTGCTGTTTCTAAACAGATGTTTTAAAGAACACTTCCTTTTTAGTTTATATGTGTACGTTGCAATCATGGTATCAGTGTGTCTGACAGGCACTACAAAGTACTGTAATCTAGCAACATTTATGTGAAATAGACTGTTATGCCAGGAGTTAAAAGGGAAGTGTGTGACTAGACTGACAGCTGAACTCAGTTTTTTTGGACCAAGATGTTAATTTTTTTTCCTCTAAAATGTTCTAATCAGTTAGATAACTTTTAAATTAACTGTATTTAGCCATGCCAAGAAATGGTGTAATGACATTATTTCTTGGCAAGCTACAGACATCAACATTGTAGGTCTTTGGATTTCTGTTTTTCTCCTCACTGGCTTGGAGGACGCTAACCTAAAATACAGTTTTTTGGAATAAAGCTGAGCTTTCCTGTTTATTGGTTCTCTGCACCAGAATCAGTGGTTACTTGGTACAGCATACCTACCTTGTTGGGGTGCTGGATTTCATTCTCAGGTTGTAATCACAGAAGTCATAGAGAACTCTGTAGTTTGGTAATACTGAGCAACTACTAAAGTAGTTGAGTTTTTGATTCAGGTGAGGTTTTCTGAGGGTCAAAGTCACTGTCATAACTTAGTGGGTACTCAGAGCTCAGACTGGTCTTGGCAGGAGCTGAGCTTTTGAGACTTAGGGAGCATGCCTTTTTTTTTTTAAACTATGAAGTTGCTGTGTAATAGACTACAATATATATAATATGTCTAATATATTACATATATAAATATATAATAGAATAGTGCCTAACAGAATGTAGTGCATCATGTTAATAACTAGATGCCTTCCTGGCAGTTTTCTGAAAATACATTCCATTTGGCTATACCTCATTATTTAAGAGAAGCAATTCAAAGTTGTGTGTTCTTTGGTTTTTGTTGAGTTTTCTAATAACTCTTGTTGTTGGGGTGTGTGGCTTGATTCCTCCCCCCCACGATTTAGAAGGGCTTTGTTTTTATTGATTGCCAGCTGTCTGGGTGTAATTTTACTCCTGTCTTTACTATAGTCATAGTTACCTGATGACATAAACAGACCTGGAATAGCACATATTTGTCAGTGTTGCAAACTTATATCAGTTGCTGAGCTGAAATTTCAGCAGGAAATGTGCCTTGCCTGATACACAGAACCATTAACTTAGCTAAAGCAGTATCTGCTTTTTCAGAGTCATATTTAAGGTATCTGGGCCCATGTGTGAGGGTAATAATGATTTTTCTTGAATCCGTTTTTAAGATACAGAGGTGTCACTACAGATAATCGTATCATGAGAAGAAAATGCAATCCACAGTTCTTTCTGTTGCTGAACTAAATTATTTCATATCCAGAGATTTGCTTATGCGATATTGGTAACATGGCTGTTTTTCATTGGAGTATGAAGAAGTTAATGGGATAATCTTGCACAAAAAGTTTTTGCTTGACAAATTGCTGCTGTCAAAGGAAACACTCTCCAAAAGCAGAGGAGATGAATTTTTTTCATGGGTCTAGACTGGAATCAAGAAAATTCCTAAGTTAAATTTTATAGTTCTGGATATCAGTGCTCAGCTTCTGTGAAGCTACTCTGCGGGGTGGGGGGGGGGGTGGGGGGAGGTGAAGTCTGTTTTGAGTTATTTAAGGATATTTTTTTATATATATATATATATATATATATATAGCCTTTTATATACCTAAATAAAAGTCTGCAACACAGATTTCTATTCTGAGGCAGCATACCTTTTTTTAATACCCTAGTCTTTAATGTGATTAAAGGATTTAGCTCCAAACCCTAAATTTCTATTACAAAATAGTTTGTATTAAGCCTGGAAAATGAAAGTGCCAAGTATTCCTGTGAGATGGAAATGCTAAATACATTCTTGTTTTGGTTTACAGTGCCATTGCCAGTTTTTCAAAACCTCAGAACATGGGTGTCTTGGTAGCAGAAGCACTGAGCAAAGTAAGTATCTCTGGACAAACAAGCTATGTGTTTGTCAGGGCTTCTTCATAAAGCTGTAAGGTAAAAAAGGTGAATTTTCCTTAAACTGCTGCCATCTGACGCTTGTAAGTTTCTCATCTACCTCTAAATATTTTTGTGGTAGTCTATTTCTTTAGCAGTTATATGGCCAAAATATAACTAGCCTTTCCTCCTTACTCTGATGTGTTTGATTCCTTTCCTATTTACACTAAGTAGCCCCAGGGTAGATATGTACTCCTTTTACAGAAAATAAGGTGTGTCTGTTCTTTAAAGTGGTATGTTGATTTAGATTTATGGAAATGGGGGGAGGATTATCAGTGACATAGTAAATTTGTGGCAGAGCTGGGATTACAATTGAGAAAGGAACCTGGTCTTCAAGTGTTTATTCCACTGTGGAAATAGCTTTAACTGCTGTAATTTCACAGAAGTGAAAAGATGGCCTCTTGCAGGAGGTGGGTAGTGCCACTGCCAAGTGCTTATTGAGTACCAAGACAACAAGTTAATGTCAGACTATTGCAAGTGATCGCCAAGACAACAAGCACAGAATATTCCACTGCTGCTGCATATGCAGCTGTTTCACCTGACGCCTGGCATTAGATAGTCAAGCATCTTCTTGAACTCTGCCTTGGAAAGACTATGAGATCATTTAAAATTGTGTTGCAGAGCTGTTGATGGACCCTTTTATACCTACAAAGACCACTGTCTGGTATCTCTTGCTAGGCTGTTCATGTAGACTCTTAACACCTACATTTTGCAAGAGCTGATTTAACAAGCAGCTTCTTAATTTGCATGCTAATCTGAATATCTGACAATTAGAATCTACTTTTCATATACTTGCAGTCTTTAGATTGTTAGGCATACAAGAGTTCCTCATCTAAAGAGTTTGGTTGAGACATCAGCTGCATCATTTCAGCATAAACCTTTCATCAACAGATGAGTATATAGCTTTAGTATGTAGATGTTGAATTTTTGAATTGACTAGTTTGTTAAGGAGAACAGATACAACTCATGCTATTTCTCCTCTGCTTGTCCCCACCTCCTCTATCCTGACCTACCATTTCCTTCTCTTGATTTCCATGATCTCATTACATGAAACTTTTGCAGTAGTTTAGAAAGTGATAATTTGATACTGCAATGACAATGACTTGAATCTAGGAAAGTAAGAATTTTAAGCAACTTATTGTTAACTCTGGCATACTGATTATTTGCTCTATGAACTACTAATAAAAAGGGGGAGGGGGGGAAATGAATGTAGTCAGGCTGATACCACTTTAAAAACATAAAATAAAATGAAATGTACAGAGTTGCCCTGGGTTTATCTATTGATTATTTGAACTTCTTGTGGAGATAAGTTTTAAGCTACTTTTATATGGTAAAATTTAGGAAGAAAATAGCATAAAAGCTATGTTTTATAACAACTTTTCCCCCCTCCACCCTTTAATGTTACAGATAAACCATAAAATTAATGCAGCAGCCTTACAGGTGGCTCAACAAAAGCCTCAGCCTGCCTTGGAGAAGTTCATACTGCCTAAGAGAATTTACATTATTCAACAGCCGCGGAAATGTTAAGATACTCATTAAAATACTCATGCTTACTTAAAGTGAGTTTCTATACAAAATAGCACTTCATGCACTGTGGTGAAATGTTCAAAAGCTATGTGCCTTGTTTCTCACTGTATTTTTGTTACTGACAATAAAATACTTTATAAGAAGAGTCACTAAATGTACTTAGGATTTATTTAAATACCATGGTGTATGTGTAATCTGGTTTTACTAGTGTACAGTAATTACACAATGCTAAGAAGTCTAGCAGTGTGAATTTTGACTGAAGTTCTAGAACCAATCAGCTCCCCCCCCCCCTTTTTTTTAATAGCAAAGCTGAAGTGAACATGATTCTAAGTTATCAGGGCACAACTGAAAGGCATGTTTCTTTTTGTTTTAATTTAGGCTGAGGTGTTCCATGCTGAATGTATGCCTTAGGTGTACTGCACAATAAGAAACTTGAGCAAGTCCTGGGAAAGATTCCCATGCAGTGGAAAAAAATATCTTTTTCCTTGCATTTCTGTGTGTAAGGAAATCTGATTCTTTTCCTGGGATCCAAACAGTAGGACGAATCAAATGAAAACAGTCTCTTTGTTTGAATCCCTCGGGGGGTGGGGAGGATGAGTGAGGGAAGTAAAGGGAGTTGAACCTCTGGGATGAGAGGGCAGACATGCAGGAGGAGGAGGAGGAGTCAAGGTGAAGACAGTGATTTCAGGATGGAGTTTAAAGTTGGTAGAAGGGGATACGGGCCTGAAAAACAATGAGACTGAGCATGGACTGGTAGTAATACAAGCTTAATAACAGGGAGGAGCAATTGTAAATACAAGTACAGGCAGTACCCTTGAGCCTTGCCTGCTTATGCTGTCAGCAAAACACAGTACAAATAGTCAATCCTGCCCAGTAGAGAGGATCATACTCTCCTACTGCTAATTTTTTGGTTGGGTAGCTCAGCTGACTTTGCTCTGAATTTAATTCTGCTGGGACTGTTCTTTGGTTTGGTTGTTTTTTTTTTCTTTATTAATGCTTGCAGATGAATATGCCATTAAAAATGTAGTTGAGGAGTCCAAGTAGACATAATATGAAAAGTAATGCTCAAAAATGTTTGTATTGTCAACGAGGCTTCTTTTTATTGTGTGCTTTCCAGATGACTGCAGTGGAAAGCTATTGCGAATGTATGAAACACTCCCTCTTACACAGAGAGATCACAGGTGGGCTACCCAGGATTAGTGTTAGCATTTAACATGAATATCTGCTTCATTTCATCCATCCATAAAATGTAAATAACTTTATATGTTGATTAAAGATTAAATTATGATCACAGGAGGTGGTGATTAGTAGTATGTGCAATAAGCAATTTGGTTACACCTTGAATAAGTAGGAAAGATTAAAATAGTGCTGCTCCTATGAAGACTGCTAGGGTTTTTTCCCCAGATTTCTTAACTGGTAGCTACTTGTAAAATATTGTCCCTGTTATTTGGACAACAGCAGCAATATACTTTATGGATATTTAAGTTGTAGCTACATGATTTGCAAAACATCTAGTTCTGTGTTTATCTATCCTACACTTTCCATTGCCTGAGCTGACTGTATATAAAGAAATATCAATATGAATGTAAATTATGTGAGTTAAAGCTGTCCGTATGTGAATTGATATATTCATGCTATCAAGGCCAAAAATAGCACTGTGCACTGTAGTATGTCAGTGCTTCCTACAGGAAGACTATTAGTAAAATCTGTATAATTCTTATCTTTATCCTTTTTGTTTCTGAGGGCCTTTAAGATGACTTTCTGTGAAATAACCTGCTGCTGAAAATTTATTTATATTCTGTCCAAGGGTTTAATGCAAAATGACATCTTGCAGGCAAAGGACTCTGTCTCTTCCAGAGTCAGATCCAGCTTTCCCCTGGATGCTAGATTAGTAACTAGACACCCAGTTCTTCTAGCCAGTTTGTGCTTAATGCACACCTCAGTGGAGAAACCATTTGGATACCATTTCCTGGTGCCTGGAAGAGATGGGACTTCTCGCACACTACAGAAGTAGGTAACTTGCACCCTGCTATGGAGGGAGTTGCTTCCTGCTGTGTGAGGAGTTACTCAAATACTGTGGGAATGGAGATACCTGGGATCCTTATTTCTACCTTACATCCCTAGTGTGGTTGGAAAAAATTACTAGCTGTGTGCAAATTGCTCTGTGGGAATTCAACTTGTTACTGCAGTGCTTCATCACTGCAGCTGTGTAAACACCATGTTGTGATGCAGTGTTAACATGGCTACAAGTAGCAGTGAATAAACCAGTGGATCTGACTGCCCTTCTCTTGGTTCTTTATTTGATTTTGTACTTTGTTTTTTGTTTGGTTTAAATGAATGTTATTTAAACTGTTGGTATGTTCAGGATAGGGATGGCATGCTCAATGTAGAAGACAGCTGCAGGAAATTACTTTTGTGACAAATCATGGCATACACTGATTGCTTATGGATGTAATACTTCTACTTTAAAAGAACCTGTCTACTACTATGTGCAGTGCACATTTAGCAAGTCCCGTGCTACACAGATGAGTTAAGCATATACAGTAATTCAGGTTCTGGAAGTATAGTGTCTACTGTATTGGCAAACAGGAGTTATGCAGCATAGGGCTCAGCATGTGCTTCTGAGAGCCTTCTAAGAAGCAACAGTCCTGGAAAAATGAACCCATGCACGTTCAATGCCTGGCATCTGTGTATGTACAGAACATAAATTAAGTGGTAGTATGGGACTTCCAAACAGCCTCACAGGAAGCCTGCATTAATGTAAAGTATCTTCCATGTTCTACCTGTGTAAAATTTTCAGGTATAAAAAGAGGACCTAACAAAAAGTCAGGAGGCCAAATTTTGATAAATTATTTCATTTTTTTTCTAAATGTAAAGCAGGTGCAAGCTCCTCTTCTGCTGTAACGTACCTTGCGGAACAGGAAATCCTGGCAACTGATAGTTAGGGTTCTTTTTTCCTGCTTCTTTAGGATGCCACCAATGTGGTGGCATTGCAGGTAGTGTTTCATACTTGCTTTTCATGTCAGTAACACTTCCTAGACTTTGGCTGGAATCTGGAAGATTTATGTAGAGAACAAACTACCTCTTCTGCTTAAATGTATTTTGTAATTGAGACCATTGTATAATTAAGACCATTCCTTTTTCAACCAAGTCTATTTTTACTCATATTTTGACAGCAGCACTATCAGTGCATTATTTTCTCATAATTTATTTCTATTTGTTAAGGTGTCCTGCTTATAATAATATTCTTAATAACAAAAGCTAAACAGGAAACTAAAACTGTATTTTAAACTAGTAAGACAACTTAAGTTTTTTCATCCTGTTTGTGCCTTCCACACTGTAATGTTAGTTTGTGTTTGCACCATCATTGATGATACTATAAAGTTGTCTTATATTTTAGGAAGTTTGTTTTATTTAGTTCAATTCTGAATTCAGTACTTTGCCTTCATTATTTAAATATGAACTAAAATTAAATGTGGAACATAGTGAAACAAGCACAGTTGGTTTGCTAAAAAGATCAGAACCTTGTAGGAAGCCTATTTTCAGGCTTCCTGAGGGTTATTACAAATGATGCAGGCATTCTACAAAAGTGGCATGGTTTCAGGAAATTATTTCTTCTGTTGATCATTATTTCATCATGTTGATGTAAATAATAAGGGTTAATATGCAGTTGGTTTTACCTGTAGACCTCAAAACACCTTACAGAGATAGGAATGACTGAAGCCAAGTGGCAGTAAAAGCAGTGAAAACTGATTTCAGTAAATGTTGATTGGTTCAATGTACTGGTAAACTTGGTAATGTCACACATTCTATTTGATGGCCTGAGTAAGACATACGGGCCTTGCAGGGATGGATTTCCTCTTGGGTGAGGAAAGTCTCCACCTTTAAGACCCTGACATGTGGAGGGTGGATGGTACTTCACAGAGCTATGTGAGAATTTGGCAGTGTGCAACTTTAAACTGGTCTGCAATGAACTATAGTAACCCCCCGGCTGATCAGTTTAGCTGCAGAAATGTGTACTTCCTGCCTCTGGACCACTTGTGATTTAAATTTTTCTAAAGAGGGTAGGTGATGTTGGGGTTCAGTGTAGATATCGGGGTTCCATTTGTTCTGGCTTCTAGGCCTATGGCATTGTCTGTTTCTTGTCCTCAGCTGAGGACAAGACTAGCCCAGCAGCTGATGGGCTGCTGCTGTGCTAGTATTCTGAAGAACACATTACTGAATCAGATGTGTACTGTTTTCAGTCTTACTCAGCTGCTGTAAACTTTAAAGGCACTTTGACTTCCCTGCTGAAACCAGTCATAGTTTTCCCTTTATTCAGCAAAACCATAAAGAGAACAATGATCCAGTGCAACAGCATGTTTATTATTCTTGTCAAAGCTGGCCATGGATTCTGTGCCTCATCATTACTCTACTCTTGCTGAATTTTAATGAAAAACTTTTAGATAATTTTACTAGCAGAATTTTCAGTCTGGCACTTCATTTATAACAGGCCACCAATGTTTAGTTCATTCTTCAGTTGAAGAGGAAGGACTATGCCAATTCTGAAGTCAAAGCATTGCTGACTCTCCACCTAACAAAGACTTTCCAATTCTCCAGTTGTTTGCTAACACGTAAGATTTTACAGTGGTTTATAACTCATATCAAGAGTAGCTTAAGAAATTTCAGTACTTTTATGTGTATACTGGTTTTGCCACAAGAGGCTGCTATATGCCTCTGGCTTATTAAGGTTCTGCCAGCTAAGTTAGTCCTCAGAAAACAGCTATTTTCTTACAGGGAGGTATATTTTAATCTGCTGAGGAAGTTTCAAACTAAAAAAAAAAAAAAAAGATTAGTTTCTGAAAACAGAATTTGGTATTTCACAGAAGACACGACTCCCTAGAAGTTGTAAAGAAGCAAAAGGCATAAACTGATGGTAGCAAAAAGTGGTATCTGATTCCTTATCTTTACTATTAAGCCTTGTTGCTTTTGTAGATGCTTTCACATTACATTCCTAAATGTGGTCACTTCAGAACAAATTTACTGCTTTATGAACCAGGCAACACTGAAAAGTTGCAGTGTTTCATATTCAACAGTTACACATAAAGGGATGAAATTTCTGAAACGGATAAAATTTATACACAGTTCACTTCTGATGATTAGTTC